TGGAATTGTTGAAGTTGTAGTTGTGTTGTGTTGTAGTTCTTGTTGGTTTGGTGTATGTTTCCGGTGGTATTTTTGAGTTGAATTTTGTGTATGTTAAGGGTTTTGATGATCCTAAGTGTTTGGGGGATGAAGCTTTGAAGTTTAGAAGGTTTAGAGTTGGAGAGCAAGAGGAGAAAAGTCAAGTTTTCGGGGAAAAGGGCTGGAGCGTCGCGCCAGCCAGCGCGCCCCAAGAGGGACTCTGAGGTCCAGCCCTTGGGGCGCCGCCCCTACCAGAGCCCCAACCAGACCTCTCTGAAGTTTGAGGTATGGCGCTCCGCGCCTCTCAGAGCGCCAAGTCTTCCCATTCTTTCCCCACTTTCTCATACACGTTCCTAGGTATTGTACCTATGTTTCCAAGTTGTTTCCAACACCCCAAGGTACGTTTAAACGTCAAGAACTCGTCCATAACACGTGATCAAACACCTTGAATTCATGATTCCAATTCAAGGAGAGTAAGTTTCCAAGTCAAGGGAAGTTAAGAGTTGAGTCTAGAAGTTCAAGAAGGGAGTCAAAGCAAGTCTTTAAAGCTTTCCAAGAGTCTTTGTTGAATGTTTCAACTTCATTTTAAGGCTCAAGTTTCAAGTTAAGTCAAGTTTCAAGTTGAGTAAAGAGTTTAAAGTTGAGTTCATTTCTCAAAAGTATTAGGGAACTATGTATTCCCAAAGAAGTTTCCAAATGTTTTTTTTACATTTGAGTAAGAAAGGAACTATGATTCCAAAAGAGCCTTTGGGCTAGTTTTCAAGAAAAAGGAACATTGTTTCCAAGTGAGCCTTCGGGCAAAGTTTTGAGTAATTATCTCAAATGAAGAAAGATGTGTTTAAAACACTTATGAGCTAACTATTTTTGGGAGTAGTCTTGAGCACCGAATTGGGGACACGAGTTCATATAAACTCAACTCTCCATAAGAACCATGCGCCAACATGGGAGTTAACGGGTCATACTTTTTAGATGAATCCGTAAGATTAAGCTAGTGGATCCACTAAGTAAAGTAGCTTCCTATATCACAGCAAGGTATAGGATGGTCCTTGGGCAACGTGAGGTAAAACGTTGTACCACCACTAGGGCTCGTGGTGGTGGTTGTCGGTTAAAGAATCTCCCACTAAAGTTATATTACTTTTATATAAGTAAAGTTGAGCTGTTATTGTTTTATCTTTAACAAGCTAAGTTGTTTACACTGTTTTACAAGCTTTATATATTGCATGTGTCGTATTGCTTTATATATTGAGTTTAGTTATTCAAGAGTTAAACAGAGCCAAGGTAAGAGTTCCTTTGTACTCCTTTCAAGCTTAAGTTGTGGTTTAGCTTTCCAACTCGCATACTCGTACATTCAATGTACTTAGGCCAGTTTGCCTGCATCTTATGATGATGCAGACACAGGTACCCAGGGCCAGCATCCGGTTCGCCGTTGATCCAGTTAAGTACTTCAGAGTCAGGGGTGAGCCTCTTTGCATTACGGAGGACTCGGTTATTTTGTTCTCTCACGTTTTGTTTTATTAGGATGTCGTGGGGTCTGTCCCAACATCCATCTCAGTATTTTAGAGGCTTTATAGACAACCAGTCAGTTGGTTTGGAGTCTCTCATCTATGTATATATGTAAATATTCTATTTTGAGACTCGAGTTGCCTTTAGGGCCAGATTTTATTTCAGTCAGGTTGTTTTAAAACCTTGCATTGCATTGAATTTCCGCTGAGTTAAGAAAGCCAGGCCAAGGGTTCACTTGGGGCCAACAATGGTCTTCGAGTGCCAGCCACGTCCAGGGTATAGGCTCGGGGCGTGACAGATAATTGCTCAAAGCTTAGCTTAAAGTCTTTCTTGAAATCGATGTTCCCTTTCTTGCTCAAATGTGAAAACATTTATAGACTTCTTTGGGAATACTTAGTTCCCTAATAACTTTGAGAAATGCACTTGACTCTATACTCTTGGCTTAACTTGAAACTCTATACTCTTGGCTTCACTTGAAACTATATACTCTTGGCTTAACTTGAAACTCTATATTCTTGGCTTAACTTGAAACTCTATACTCTAGGCTTAACTTGAAACTCTATATTCTTGGCTTAACTTGAAACTCTATACTCTAGGCTTAACTTGAAACTCTATACTCTAAACCTTCTAAACTTCAAAGTTTCCAGCCCCAAACACTTAATATCATAAAACCCCTCAACATACACTAAATTCAACTGGAAATCACAACCGGAAACATGCACCAAACCAACAAGAAACTTCAACAACACAACCACAACTTCAACAAACACAACCAATCTTTTCTCGGAATTAAAACGAGTTTGGCGTGTGGGGGAAAGAACCAACCCAACACTATGATCTCACATACCTTAATAGGGATCACCCCCGACGAAAACCACGACGATCTTGACGAATCCTTGCTTCTTCTTCTCTTTCTCCTCTTCTTTCTCTCTTCTCTCAAAAGCCCTAACTCTCACTTTAAAAAGGAAAAACTGATTTAAAATCAGTATAAAACCTTAATATAACCAAAAGAAATGGTTAGGGAAAAGACCAAAATACCCTTACAAATTCGGACTAAACTGCCCTGTGCCAACATCCCAACTTCCAAAAGGGCATGGGCATAACTCACTCATACGAACTCGGAATCGCGCAAACTCGACGGCGTTGGAAAGATCATTCCAAAAATAACTGGAAATACACCTAAATCATCCTGAGCTAGGAGTTACGACTCTTTGAAGTTGATCAAAAACTCACTTTTTCCCATACTTAGCTAAATTTCCAGATTCTTGAATTCTTTCCAAAAATGACTATTTCCAATTCTAAGCTTTTTCATAGTTATTTCAAAATACCGGATGTTACAATATCTTCCCCTTGGGAACATTCGTCCTCGAATGAGATCACTTTTACTAGGCTAAGGTGCAACATCAAGCTCAACACCCAACAAGCAACAATGCCAACAACAACAACAACATGGCCACCATAATTTAAAGAGCACTAAGAAGGAAATTAGTACCTTGATCTGCATTTCCTCCGGATTCAAAGAGATGTGGGTATCTCTTCTTCAACATGGAGATATGAAATATCGGATGAACCGCTGCTAGTTCCTGTGGTAGCTCCAACTCATAAGCAACACTGCCAATCATCTTGGCTATGCGGTAAAATCCAATCAACCGGGGACTAAGCTTCCCTTGCTTACCAATCCTCATAACCCACTTTGATACCTCAAAACACCATCTCCCCCTTGTTCAAAAGCCATCACTACTTATGAACATTTTACCTGAATTCCAGCAAGATAGGGTCTGGGTCTTTCTCACCTTTTACTTCTGACACAAATGATGGGTCAGACCCATACATCATCACTATTCCTCCTTCTGTGGAATCTCTAAGTCTAACTCCCGGACGTGCCAGTCTGTGCATATCTCCTGCTAACTCTCTCTTTCCTTCTTCAATATGGGCGGTGCTACCCACAGATAGCCTGCTTAAGGAATCGGTAACAACATTAACCTTACCAGGGTGATAAAGAAAACTCATGTCAACATTAACCTTTCCAATTTGGTTTCACTTGATCTTTCTAATGGTTATGGATTACAAATTGATGAGAGAACATTTGAAACAATGTTTCACAACTTCACAAATCTGGAGCTACTTTTTCTCTCTTTTGTCAACATCTCATCTCCGATACCTGTCAATATTTCTTCCTCCGTAAGGTACATGGATCTTGAATATACTAATCTGCTAGGTGTTCTCACAGAGAGCCTTTTCCTTCTGCCCAACTTGGAAACACTCTATTTGAGTGGGAATGATCTTCTCAAAGGAGTTTTTCCAAAGGTCCACCCGAGCAACATCTCTGGTGAGCTGCCTCATTCAATTGGCAACTTGAAATCCTTGAATATCTTGAAGCTCTATGGATGTCAATTCTCTGGTTCCATTATATTCCCGATTCCATTGGAAATCTAACCCAAATTACTGAGTTGGCTTTATCTGTTAATCATTTCACTGGCCATATTCCTTCCACAATCTCTAAATTGAAGCATCTCACACGTTTGGATCTTTCTGACAACTCCTTTTCAGGTGAAATTCCAGACGTTTTCTCTAACCTCCAACAACTACTATATTTAGATCTTTCTAATAACAGCGTCATCGGTCCATTTCCTTCTTCAATTTTAAGTTTGACACAACTTGATACCTTAGACTTGTCGAGGAATTCCCTATCTGGCCCACTGCCTAGCAACACAAGTATGCTTCAAAAGCTAACTGAACTGGATTTGTCTTACAACTCACTGAATGGTACCACACCATCTTGGGTGTTTAGCCCACCTTTGCTATATTCAGTGTCGCTCCAACACAACTGATTAAGAGGACTAGCCGATGAAGTGATCAAACAAACCCAACATTAAAAGAACTGCATTTAAGCAATAATCAACTCATTGGTTCTTTTCCTCAACCACTTGTGAATTTCCCAAACCTTTGGACCCTTGGAATTTCATCTTGTGAACTGAAGGATTTTCCACACTTCTTGAGAAATATAAAGACACTTCGATACTTGGATATTTCTAATAATACGATTTGTGGTCAAATCCCTAACTGGTTTAGCGGCATGAGGTGGGACTCATTGTGGTTCCTAAACCTTTCTCATAGTTCATTAACAGGCCACCTACCACAATTTCATTATTATAGTCTAGAGTATCTTGATCTGAAATTTAACTCCCTTCAGGGTCCACTACCTTCATCCATTTGTAACCTGAGGAAACTTACCTTATTAGATTTATCACGCAACCAATTCAGTAACTCGATTCCAAGTTGCTTGGGAAGCATTGCTAATCTAACGGTGTTGGACTTAAGAAAGAACAATTTCACAAGGAGTCTTCCTCCATTATGTGCACACAACACTTCATTGAGTACCATTGTCGTAAATGGTAATCGATTTGAAGGACCTGTCTCTGTGTCGTTGCTCAACTGCCATAATTTAGAAGTCCTTGATGTGGGGAACAACACTATAAATGACATGGCTAGGAACTCTTCAAGTGCTACAGGTCCTTATATTAAAATCAAACAAGTTCCATGGACCTATAAGTACGTGTCAGACCAAGTTTTGCTTTCCCAAGTTGCGAATATTCGATCTTTCCTGTAATAAATTTAGTGGCTCACTTTCTGCAAAAGGGATCAAGTACATGGAACCATCTCTAGCGTTGGAGTTATCTGGTAGGTCGTATGAGGATTCAGTGAGTTTGGTAATCAAAGGGCAGGATATTGAGCTACAAAGAATCAACAAGATTATGACAACCATAGATCTCTCAAGTAACCATTTTGAAGGTGTCATTCCGAAAACACTAAAGGATCTCAGCTCACTTTGGCTACTCAATTTATCCCATAACAATCTCATAGGTGCTATTCCAATGGAATTGGGGCAATTGAATACGCTTGAAGCTTTAGATCTCTCCTGGAATCGGCTCACTGGAAAGATTCCACAGGAATTGACAAGAATGAACTTTTTGGCCTTATTAAACCTCTCTCAAAATCATCTCGTCGGACCAATTCCTCAAGGTCCACAATTCAACACATTTGGAAATTATTCATATGGTGGCAACCTTGATTTATGTGGTCTTCCTTTAACAAAGAAATGTGGAATGAGTGATTCATCACATGTTCCTCAACCAGAAGATGAAGGCGAGTCATATTTTTTTAGTGGATTTATGTGGGAATCAATAGTCATAGGCTACAGTTGTGCTCTAGTTGTTGGAACTTTCATGTGGAATCTCATAACTATATGTCCTATTACATTATAGTTATTATACAAAGTGGAAAAGTTCAAGGGATAATAAGGCCATCTCAAAAGTCGGGTGTGTAACTGAAAATCTAAATCAACTGGGTATACTTAGGGCTGTTCAAAATCGAACCATAATCGATAAGCCAATCACAAAATTGGCTTATTGGTATTGGATTATCGGATTAACGGTGGTCAACGGATCAAAATTTTATAGTTAACGGTGCGGAGCAGATTACTCAATTTCCTTCTAGGGTAAACCATTAACCTTTTAAAAATTATCGTAGTTAGTATATTTATTAAGTAAATACTAATGCACTTGCACCCTCAAAATTTAGTTCACATGTGTCTCACTGTGATTTACAATTACTGAATTACCAGCTTAAGTAGGGCTAGAAAATTGTTTTGTTTGATGGGAGATCAATCTAATTGTGAGTGAAAGTGAAAGAAGGGAGCACGAAATGCTAGAGCCAATGCACCAACCGATAACCATCCATTAATTCCCAACCCGATACCGAGCCAACCGGTAGCTTATAGGTTGGCTAGCGGATTAATTTCTTTCTCGTGTTTGTAATTTTATCTTGTTTTATTTTTTCTTTCACTTAGACTCCGTATTTATTTATATATTAAGAAATTAATTAAATATATAATTATGAATTTGGTAATTAGAATGAGTTATGAGAGTTTAGTGATAAATTCAAAATTTATAGAAATCAAATTTTGGCTCCACTTCTGTAAGGTGAGGTAAAGATAGGACTTGGAGTTTATGAAATCCAGAAAAAACCGCACCTTAATAAGCTTTTGATAGATTATTTGAAATTTTAAATATTAATATATGATTTGAGCTGAAGTTACTAAACACTATTTGAACCCGAGCTATACCTCTTTCTCAGGGTAAGAAAAAAGATAATGAGATCCCTCCACAACTTCACCCTTGATCATAGATTTCGGATTTGAGTCATTTTCATCTAGTAATAGGATAAGGATAATCAACTAGGCAATTAAGCAACACTTTTTAGCATGGTGGGTACAACTGCCAACAACTAGGAACTTTTTTTATTTTTCTTAAATTCAATGTAATAACTTGTAAACTTAAGTTTCATAGATAAGCTATGGTAAAAAAAGTAAAAATAAAATCTCTTTTATTGAGTAAGGTATAATCTAGAGAAATTTTCATAGGCCTAAAAAATGGGCTGGCTCCTTTTAAACATGAGTTGGGCTTCTCTTTAATGGGCCTTATGCTGCGCGGGCCTGTATTAGTTGGAGCTCCGAAGCAGGAATAGAACACCGGGTTAAGGATTTGAAAAAAATTATCTTTCCAAATGACATTCAAGTCAGCTGATCTAATATATTTTACTCGCTTTCCTTAACTTCGTTCCTTTATATATATTGATCGTATAAAATTTATCACTTTATAATAGTTGACACGTTATTTGCCTTGATTTCAAATTTAATTTTATGAAGTGTCACTTATAGTTACTTTTAGACGACTTGATAGTGAAAAAAAATTTCTTTGAAACTTTGTTTCAAATTGTCTAGCATACAATTACCTGAGGAACAATGTAGGGGCGGATCTAGTGAAGCAACTACGAGTTCATCCGAACCAAGTAGCTTTGCGTAAGACTCTTTATATAATTTAAAAATGAATTACATATTTTTCAACCTTCCAAAATAAATGGTACTTGTATTGTTACCATGTTGTACCTAAGTGTAATGGTTACGCAAAATTTGTAAATTTGGAAAATTTCAGGGCCACAACATGCATAGGGTTCATGTATCACATCTCATGCATGAATTAACTACAGTTATCAAATTACTGATTTACTGGGTTGATTTTATGATCGATCATGGTCTCCTGACCTCTAATCGCCTACTCCAATTAACTGTCTAACTACATCGTTGAGTGCGGATAGACAATCCTAATTGGTGAGCATTTATATTTCATCATGTTTCGTAACCAAGCTAGGTGTTCGTCCGGACGTCACTCCTAAACACAAATCAACTCAATTTAATGGAAGATCAAGCTTTTGTATCCATTGGTTTATCTACCTTAGCGTCTCTCGATTTTAAGAGTAGACAAGAGATTTATCTCTATGATGGCCAGTCAAGAAATACTAAAACAAGAATACAAAAATAATTTAAGCGATAACCAATCATTAATTCAAAACAATTGATGTTCAACACTTACACATAGCTACAACCCCAAAACAAGGGCCTTTAACTACTAATGTCTAAGAAAAGAAAAAGAATAGAAGCCTAAAAAGTATTGACAACTTTATACTTATACCTATGATTCATCTCCCTGAATAATTATTTTTATGAATTATTTATAGAGGTAGAAAATCCTAAATAAAATAACTGAGTCCAAAACAAATCAAAAAACCAAAACCAAACGGAATATGACTTCCACGTCAACAATGGTCGTCCAACTGCCTCAATTCTCTTTGCTGCCTTCAGAATCAGCCACGTGGCAACTAATGCAGGTAAACTTCATTAATTTCCTTTCTTTGTACGTTTGAATGAATATATTATAATATTCAATTTATTTTATTAAGTTGTCTGCTTGATTTTCTTTTATAATTTTTCATCTTTAATTCATTTTAAGTCCAAACTTCTTCATCTTCACACCAATTTAATCCTATAAATAAAATACATTATTTAGCACAATTTATAAAATTCATGCCTAAAAATGACAGATATAAATAATAAATATGAAGCAAATAATGATTAAAATATTTTTTTTGACCTCACATCAATAAGATTCGTGGTCAAATTCGTAACTGATTTAGTGGCATGAGGTGGGGTTCCTAAACCTTTCGCATAATTCATTAACAGGCCACCTACCAAAATTTCATTACCATAATGTAGAGTATCTTGATCTTAAATTTAACTCCCTTCAGGATCCACCATATGTAACCTAATATATATTCCTTTAACAATCTCTAAATTGAAGCAACTCACACTTTTAGATATTTGGAGGAGAAATTCCTGCATTTGAAGTTCGATTTTTTTGTGTTTGCCGTAGCATTGGACTTAAAGGCCTATTCATCCTTGTAATGAAAATTGAACATGAATGAAAATAAAAACCAAATAAAAGAACAAAAATATGGAGTATATATTATTTCGTTAGGTCTTCTCCGTCCTCTAACAAACACTACAAAATACGAGTAATAAGTTGTTAGAAGTGAGTAGTACTCATCTATGGACCACAAGTTGCGTACCTTTTATGATTGTATAGATTCAACGTAAAAATTGCATAAAAATTTAATGCATTTGTACAACTTGGTTTCCTCTATTCCGAATGTACAATAATTGTTCTCACAATTGGTTCAATGACGCATTTTGAACTTTTATGATTGTATAGATTCCGTGGAAAAATTGTACTAAAATTTATTGCATTCATACAACTTGGTTTCGCTTGATTAAAGGGACCAATTTCACATCATCTTGCATAATACATACTGCAGAGATAGTCGATCTATGACCTCGAAATGAACAACAACATCTAAAGAAAATAAGGACATACTGAGTATTATTTTGTTAAGTCTTCTTCGTGCTCAAAAAAATCTCATGAAACACTACAAAATATGTGTAACACGTTGTTACAAGTGACTAGTACTCATTCATGAAGTACAGGTGACTTTGAGTCTTCCTGGAAATTGACTTATCACGTAGGACAACTTTTTTTGCAACCACAAATTATTACCTCATTTTATTTGTGTGGATGCGTTTCTTTTCTTTCGTTAATTTGTACCTCATAGTCCCATGCATAGACAAGTCAACAACGCTACTTTATGAAATATCGCTTAGTTAATTAATTGTTCACTTTATTTAATGAGGAGGTCATTGTAACAATTAAGAAATGGAATGGTGTTTAGTTAATTATACCATCATTCTTACGTGACTACTTATTTTATTAACTTATTTATATCTTGGCAATTATCATGAACCCGCATTATTATTTTTACGTTTATCTTTTTTATTCTTCTTTTTATTTTTATTCTTTCATTATTAGATACTCTAAAGTCTACCAAACGGTAAAACTTTTTGAATTATACAAAATATATTGTTGGGTGTTAATTAAAAGATCAATTTGTTTTTTGGTGTATTCTTTAAATAATTACAAGCACTACAACAAAAATAACTTTTAGCTTAAAAGTCGCTTAACTTTGAATTTTAACTCAAAAGTCACTTATTATGAATTCTTTTCTCAGAAAGTCACTCAACATTGAATTTTAATTCAAAAGTCACTCAATTATGAGTATTTTACTTACAAAGTCACTCAACTATGATTGTTTTACTTACAAAGTCACTTAACAGATTTAATTGTTTTTTTAATCAAAATTTGCTGGTATAATTTTCTTATATAAAATTAATATTTTTAAAAAAAAGTAATATTCATTAGATAATTTAATGATCATCAGAATTCCTTAAGCATTAAGAGGAATAAATTAATTTCCTCTCCCCCCCCCCCCCCCCCCCTCCCTTCTCAGTTGCTGCCTCTTCTTCCTCTTTTAGTTTTTTTAATTGGAATTCAAAAATAATAGTGGAATAATTTCATGCATCAGAATTCCTTAAGCAGAGGAGAAAGAATCCGACAATAATTTAGGAGAATTAGCGGTAAAATAAAATGGGTCAATATTATATTTTTAGCAGGTCATTCATTAAATGAATATTCTTTTATTTTTTAAAATATTGCTTTTAATAAAATTTTATACCAGCAAATTTAAATTAAAAAATTAAATGGAGTAACATCATGTCTTTATTGTTCATTTATTATTTTTTTTTCTCAGATGACTTGGTCATACAATAGTTTCTCTCTTTGAAATGTATTGTGGAAAACAGCAGAAGAGATGTTGATGGGAAGTTAGACAAGAATGACTTAAAATAGGAGTTCAAATTTCTATCTATCCATCTATACTAATGTTAAATTTCTGTTTTTTCTCTTTTTAATTTTTTGTTTGTTGTTTGTATATACTTGCTAGCAATATAATTGTATGTGTTATTTTCGAATCCGAAACC